TTTTTTTTGGACGCACTGTTTTTCACACCTAAGATGTTTTTGATTAGATATCATGGCTTTTTGTCAATACACACCAACAAACCACACAAAGTAAGAAAGTGATACTCGATAGTAACCAAAATTAGCTTTAGGATCGCAACCCTATTATTCGGAACAGACCTTTACTTTATAGAACCAACCAGATTTTTTTGAAATACATGATGGTAGTTTTCCCTCTCTAAATCGGTGTTAATAATCTCCTTTATAGTAACGCCACGGAAACTAAATTAACAGTTTCTTGTCATCACCCTCATGCATTTGGTACAGCCGTATCGAGCATCATTATTTAATCTAATTGCTTAAGCTAATATCACGTGACGCTAAATCTCTGTAATTAGGAAAATTTCATAAAATTTAGCAAAATTGTGCTTAAAAGTTGGCAATAAATAATAACAGTCCACCCTATGATTCTTTTGAAGACTTGACTAGAAACTGCTAATCTAGTTTACTTGGCCTAAACAACATTTGTGTATCTGCACGTCTTTTTACCCCTATAGTTTTGCCGCTCTAAATCAGCCGTCTTTAATCCGAATGACAAAAATGGTCCACTTTTACTCTCAGGTGAAGTTGCAGTAAAAACTTCAGACCGATAGCTCACACGACTTTTTGTGCAGGCGTGCGCAAAAATTTTGGTCAAAATTGAGCGGTATTTGTTGAATAACTTTGCACATATGATTTATATTTAAACCAAATATAAAGATTTTAAAGTGTACCAAATTTGAAAGAAATCCATAATAGTTAAGTGTACTTTTCTATCAAATCAAGTTTCCGTACTTTTGTTGCGAAGAAAAAAAAAATATAAAGGAAAAACTTCAATCAAAAGAGGAGATTTTATATCTCGTGTATTTCTTAATGGATTACCTTGAAATTTAGTATGCGAAGTAAGTAAATTTAGTTTGGGTTACCATAGTCCGAGCTACAGAAAGTGGAAAATCGCTAAACCATCATTCCTGTTAATAGCACACTGTGTGTCCTGCAGGTTGTTTTGGCCGCACGACAAACTATTGTGTGTTTTGATACAGTGTGGTTGTCATATTGTTATACATTTTTACTTGACTTTCATTCATAATTTCTTAGAATATATATTATACCACATAGCAGTTTGTTAGATTTCTTTCTTTCTATACCTAAATTCCACACACACTGTGTTTTAATATAAAAACCGAAGTACTCGATTTTTTAAATTTTTTTCTAGCAAAATATCTTATGCTTAATGCAATGTTATATAATAGAACAATACTTACATAAGCAAATAAGCTAAACACAACAGAATTCTCTTGTTTGAATACGCTATATTAAAACTACACTACTAAATCCTGCGAAAGGTTATCTGGCAGAACTAAAGTGTACAGAATGCTGAATCATTGTGTGATACTTCGTTAAAAAATGAAATGGTACATATGTGTAAGTCAAATAATGTTGAACTGAGATGCTTTGTTATGGAATGAAGAAGTAACGAGTGAAAAGACATTATGAACAGCCTTACAAACATTGAAATTATCTTACATTTCTTTGTGGCTTTAATAACCCCTATAATTTAAAGGGTCATTATAATAACAAGTAAAATGCTTGATTACAATATAGTGCGAATACAGAGGCATGTAAGGATACAAAATCTAAACACCTTTGTAAATCATTTAATTTGTCTCAGAATGAATAAGAATTTGGTTATGCGTTATAAAAAAGATTGATAGTCGATCAAACAAAAGTGCGTTGAAAAATTTGTTTTTATATACAACCTTCACTGCACAATGCTTGAATACCTATCAATCTACATGATGATGATTATAAAGAAAGTTTCGTGTATTATCTCACAAACGGTGATGTTAAGGCTAATAAAGGATACAAATATCACAGTTGTCCCATGTTACTGCCAGGGGTGCCACTATAAGCTAATATTTTATCAATCACAGGAGTTGTTCATAATGTACTCCTCCTGCCTTCAGAATGAATTCGATCCGTATGACCGCGCATCTCAGCTGATATGCTTGAGGTCTGAAATTGTGTGAGACTTTCAATGGTACACAAGTGTCTTGAGTTGCTTTCACAACCAGAAATCGGCTGGTTTGGTCAGGTGTACAAAGTGGAATTCATGGGGAAGGTTATATAAAGTGATTCTATCCTGAAAGAACTCCTGCTAGACGGATTTAACCTAATTACCAATACGCGCATGGTCACCATCCTACATGAAAAACCACAGTGTCTGTCATATTTCGTTACTACAGCATGGGAATTACATTAGCTTCGAGTATTGCATAGTATCTGCAGCACTGGCTTTGTAGGGCAGTTCAAAAAAAGCACAGAAAAGAATTATTAGTAAAAATGTACATTCGGAATTAATTTAGAAAATTTACAAAAAAATGACACCTGTAACCTAGAAAATATTTAGGTAATTGATTAACAAAAACACTTAGTCTGGATCACGTAAGATATTAATAATTGCAAATCGAAAATATCAAAAACTGTTGCTTTGAACACATAATCTTTCATATAATTTTCGTCAAACCGCATGAAAGAGTTTTAAGAAAAAGTAACTTTTCGGAAGTATAGGTAAATCATTGGCATTTACCAATAACTAGTCGACAGGTTTTATGTCGTCACAAGTTATTACCGTATTTGGACAAAATGTTTCAATATATTTTTAACGCCAAGTCTACGAATAAGGGTGGTGAGTTGATTTCCACAAAAAGATTTACGTTACTCTCTTAAAATAAAAATCTGAATGAAGATTTGAGCTCCTTGCTTTTACTGTAATCTGAAATATCCAACAACGTGGGTATATTCGCACTAGTTTCTAGCAAAAGACGGTTGTAGTAGTGGCCGTACGTAAAATACCTTGTTCCTAAACTTTATAAAGCTGTTCTATCCGCGGTTTTCACGAGTTCTGTCAATAGATATTGTAAGGAAGCCTCAACGAAGCTTACTTGCCACTGTAAAGTTGCCAAGTGCGGGACCTTCCTGAACATGAACATTTCTGCTATTTTGTGTAAGAGGCACTTCAGCATCTTCGTGGGCGAACACTATTGGGAGACTTTTTTTTTTGCAGGAAAGTGTATTTTTTATTAGGTTAACAGATTGAGCCTTTTATTGAAGTAGATTTTATGTTTGTTCAAGCTTGAATACCGAAAACCGTGACACTTCTATAGCCCACCCAATCCTCCGAATTCTGTTTCGTTAACTTGCAGACCGGATGTTAAAAAATATGTTCATAAACAAACAATTGGACCAGTTGAACTTCCCAGAAAACATTTTTGTAAACTGATGTTACCGGCACGGAAGTGAACAGTGATCACTAATTTAGTTATGATTTTTAAGCACTTTTTAGGCTCTTAAGAAGCCCTCTGCGAGTCAGTAGTGTACGTGAGAACTTTAAACGCAAACTTTCGGTGTTCGACAGTTTTATTGTGTAGCTTTGCGCTTAAGCAATTAGTGTGAGAATGAAGTTAGCTCAGATATAATGAAATTAGTAATTTTGTTAAAGAAGTTACTAAGAGTTTATCAGTTTACTTCAACTTTTACAAGCATGTTAAAAATAATTATAATGTTCTTAAACAGGTCATTTGAAATAAATTCAAAGCTGATAATTATGTATTGTTTATTTACTGGGCTACCAGCTGTGTACATCGCGGGGAATCGAATCTCAGATTTTAGCGTTGTAAGTCCGTAAACTTACAGCTAACCCAGCGAGGACGATAATTGTGTATGTAATGTTGTTTGTAGTAGTTTCTTCAAAATTTCAAAGATCTGCTAAACTTCCTTGTGATTAATCCTTACCAAAGTTTTAATATTTGAAAATATTTCAATGCTGTAAATATTTAACAAAGTAATTGAAAAAAAAGGCATATGGTGTAACAAAAAAAAAAAAAGATCCTAAATCAGTTGCAAGGCTATTAATAGAAACAGTTCGATAATTATTAATTAACCACTAAGGAGACTGGAAATTCTGTTTCAAGTAAGTTTGTACATGTGTAAATTGTTTTGCTGCTGTTAAGCTAAAGTTGAACAGTGGGCTATCTCTGCTGTGCTCATTACAGGGATCGAACTAAGGACTTTAAATTTATAGACGTGCCATCAGTGAACACTTCGGCTCAGTGTCTAGCATGCTAGAGTGTGGTTCTGAGATTTCGTGGTTTGCACCCAATTATCACTAAAAATAAATAAAATAAGAAATCTCGCTCTGTACTCTAAGGTGTGATACAAGAGTAACTGTCGAATCCTACTATTCGATTAAAGTAACCCAAGAGGTAACGATGTATGATGTTGGCTAGATGTCTTCCAACTGATTTCAAGGGTTACTAACCACCACACTAGTAATGTTATTCATCACAATAAGTTTATAATACTGTTTTAGATTTTGTACTAAATTCAAAATACGTTTTTACAATGCTCATCGAGTATAATAAAGTAGATCAGTGTTAAAGTCGTACAGTACAACATTCGGTTTTGTTAATATTCAGTTTTAGAAATGTTCATCAACGACTGGCAATATACAAGTATTGAATATGAATAAATCATTAAAATGGTCAATAACAGTCCGCTGTTATCCTTCAACATGATAGTGTCACGCCCATATTACTCGTTATGAAAAGACTGCTATTAAAAAAGTTCAGATGAAGAGTCCTTCCCTGGGATTTGATTTTGTGCAAGCAAATCCAATCCGATTACCACTAGCAAACGTATGTGATTTGAAGTAGACATTTTCTTCCTAGATCTATGAGCTTCATCGTGCAAGATCGATGAAATTCCGGTTTGATATTATGAAAAAACATGTAGTGCACTTGTTTTCAGAACACTCGTCAACGCAACCCGTTCTCAAGAGGATGAAAAAGATAGAAATAGCAGAGTGCTAAATCAGGACTATATGCTCGATGTTTTTTGTTGAAAAACCCTTGTTACTGACTCATCGGGCAGATTAGTCGTTTAGGCAAAAAAAAATATTTTATTTATAAATGAATAAATTACACACACTTTGGACAATAACAATACATCACACATAACACACTATTCAAATCCAATATTCATATTACTAAAATAAATAACATTAACCTCATTGTCCTGAAATTAGTGCCATAATACAATATGGTTCATGTATACAGTAATCTTTACTATAAATAATTATGAGGTACTTCAACTTAATATTCCTTTGAAATTAAATATTTTATTTAAAATTATGGATATCATACCATCTCATATTTCACACGAAATTGTATTAGGAAAACGTGAGGCATTTTTGAATACAGGAAATGTCGTAGTACATAACTTTGAAAAACATATAGCAAATATTTTAACATACAAGGAAACGTAATTCCAATCATCTACTTATATTTGACAACAACCATATATAATTAATAATATTCGTCTCAAACATATATAGTCCACAATATATTTTTGGTTGCGAACGTGATCAAGAAGTCTACATACCAAGCTGCAACATACAGCTTTATAGAAATACCGAGTATGTAGACAAATGAATACAAACCACTTTAAAGTACATTTATGCAAAAAAGGGGAAACTCTTGATAATTTACAAAATGAGCATCATACACACACGCAAACAGACGGCTGAACAGCTTACACACTAACTACCTTAATTTACATAACCTCTTGGTCTGCGCTTAACCATGTCATTGACTCGAGCTTGCAGAGGTGAGGGTTTATTGACTAGATTTCCACCCATCCCTACGCTTGTCGAAGTGTATTTCGTAAAATATATAATAAATTCACTTAAGACTTCACGCTAAGCTACAGGTTTAAATATTAAATAGTGCTTTCGCTTCATAGTGCATAGTTCGAAAAAACATTTCTACGTATCATCTTACTTTAAGAGCACGTGAATAAGCACGTGTTAATAAATAATTTAATACGCTTAAAGTAATGTTTTTTTGTTTTTTTTTACGAATACGTTCACAAATAAGAAATACCACGGGATATACTGAGAAAGTTAACATAAAAGACTACCAAATTATTTACAGAGAACGTAGTTTAATAGTTACATGTAGAAAAACTCAAAATCCGATAAAAAAAATTCACAGTTTTAGCATATTGACCCTCAAAATAATGTAAGATTCTACTCTCTTCGAAGTTATTATAACAATACTACAACCTGACTACCATAAATCATTATAAGACAACAACATAGAACTTGGAAAACAGTTTGAAACTGGTTCACAATTCACAAAAATATATACACACGTGTTTATTTACCAAACGAGATCCTTTCGTGAAAACTGACTATAGCCACTGACGTCAGAAACATCATTTTAAAAACACACAACCTTGTTTTGCAACATATCATTAAGGAGATCAATAGATGAAAGCTGATTACTTGGCGGTTCAAGCCCATTCTGCTGAGCGAGCCAAGCCCATTGCTAACTAAAAAAAAACATAGTGACACTCACACAACACAATACAGAATGCACATGTTAAATAAAGTGCCTTGAAAACAAGAAAATATATAACTTTTTGACAGAAATGGAAACTTTTCCACGGATGTGAGGTTTGAACTGTTACTATTTTCTTATTTTAAAATCTTCTTCTAGATCAAAATAATTTATATTTAAAATTACAGTAAGGCAAGTTTATACTTATTAAAAAACAAAAATAAATCGTTAAGCTACTTTTCACGCATATAAAAAAGAGTTTTTGACACCAGGTAAATGAAACATGTTACACGGCAGAGCTTTAATGTATGGAGAGGAATGGGTATCTCTTTGCCGTGTTCTCACAACTTGTTGGCACTCCTTGGTTTCCATAAGATAACTTTTGATCCTGGTTGGCAAGTTGAGGTCATTAACGTCGTTACGAGTTTTTAGAATGTTCAATATCACTGCCCGACATCGATCTTGTAAGTTATAAAAGTCACGTCTCATGTGAGACAGAGTCATTTCAGTTTTAGCTGCAGTTGAGCAAACCACCGGATATAAGTCATCATCGACTAGATGAAGTCCTGAGAAGGCAACCCCAAGACATACGCCATCCTTGAAGTACGTCAATGTTCCTTGAGGGCCATCAAAGAGAAGTCCAACAGTTGTGGCTTCGTTTTCACGGAAAGGTTTCGTAAATTTTCTCCACTCTCCGTTATGCCAGAGTATTCCTTTATGCGATAAACCCCATCCTTGATCATCTTCTCCCAGCATGTTAATAAAGGCATCAACATGGAGGCGAGCTTTCTTGGTACCAATACCGAACATCATGCTTGTACCGAAGATCCTTTCCGATACATTTACTTCCCAGTAATACTTTCCGCTGTTTAGTACTCTACTTCCTCGGACTCCTGCCGTCCCGTTACTCCAGTTGGGATGAAACTGGGCTGTTCTAAGCCAAACACCGCACAGTCTGACCTCGTGGGACTTGTCTTTTCGGTTCCACGACCAGGTGTCATCACAGCCACTTCGCAGAGGTCTGGGAATTGACGTTCTGGAGTCCCGACTGGTCATACCTAACATAAAGGGAAGTTCAGGTTAAATTCATTTGGTGAAGAACTAAATATATTATTATTATTCATTCTTTATTAATTACTTTTTAAAAAGACTGAAAAAGTCGCAAGTAAGTTTGGTGCTCACCGAACAATTAATACCATCGTTAGAAATGCAGATTGAGATAGTTCATATTCAGTCTATTTTAATTAAAGCAACATCAAAAACAACTGTTGGCTCTTCGTGAATAAGATCTTAAACATACATGCCTATGATATAAATGATAAAATATTTATCTTCTCTCTCTCCGTAATTATTATTTTTACCACCGACATCACATATCTTCATGTCTGATCATGACATTTCAAATTATCATAATAATCTAGAACAAATAATTGACAATACAATTTTCAAATACATAAAACAATAAAAATTAACAAAACGATTTTGTAGATCGGCTGAATTGAAATGTGCCGTAACTTGACTTTGAAGATTTTTTCTTTGCTTGTTAAGCTAGACAATGAGCAACCTGTATTCTGACTGTCGTAGATACCGAAATCAGATTTTTAGTGTTATAAGCCCTCAGACTTACCGCTGAGGCAGATTAAAGGAACTTTTAGTATACTACAGCCACGTACTTTGTATTATTAAATGAAAAGGAATCACTTCGAATGCTATTCCCCAGTAAAAAAAAGTATGCTAAAAACTTTTAATACACTTGAGTTTACAGAAACAAATAAAATGTGTGTAAAAACTAAATTGCTAAAGGCAAACCAAAATATAAATTTGTGAACATAATTATCCTAGAGATTTCCTAAGCCTTCTCTCAATAAAGTACGCTGACGTAGTATAAGAAAAGTTAATGCAGTATGTTCATTATCATCATTCTAGGAATTCAACACATCGTTAAGGTGTTACGAAGTGTAAAAAAATTGTATGTTTTGAAGTTAATTAAAATATACCTAATACAGGTTAATTTAATTAAACACAAACACTAGTGCTTTAATAACTCTTCTACTGTCGTAATCGTACATTAGTTATCCATCATTTAGAGCGTTGCTTGTCTATTTTTAAAACCGCACCTTTCCCTTTCTCTTTCTCTCTTAGGCATAGCGTGCCAGCCTGAGGACCACAGTGTTCGAGGTTCGAATCGTGATACTGCTCACTATGCTGTGCACTCTCGAGTATGGTCGTGTCATAAAGTGACAATCTATGTCTTGTCCAATGCACAGAGCCAGACAAAGCTCTAACTGGCTATCTCTAGTTAATAATTCAAATTTAGTGATGGCTACAACTGAATCCTAGGAGTCTGTGACCAGAAAGTTTATGTCCATCTATCGTATAAGGTGCATTTCAGGTCGAAACTTTCAGTTGCATTTTCACTTTTAGGTCTTCTGCAGGTCATTTGACCGAAGTAATTAAGCATTTTCTCTCTCATAAAATCAGTTAGAACCACTTTTGTATTTTCAGACCAAACAGTTGTCAATGTTGTATAATAATATACTTATTGAATGGCTTCACAAACAATATATCAATATTTAATAGCTTTATAATACACATTAAATTAAGTAATTGTCACTTAACCTCATTTTGTTCAACTATTCTTGATTACCATACAGTGAATTACCAAATATTGCATTTACTTTTGTTTTTATATTCTCAAAGGCTAACATTTAAAACCTTATGGAACTCACTGTTACCTGGAGCATTTCTTATAATTCTCTTTAAATAATTGTGGTTTTCCATTTCGAAATGAAAGTAAATCAGTGTATTTTATTTTGACGATGGTTATACTTTTATACTAAAATACCATGATCCGTACTGGGAAAAATAAAGTAAAAACGTGGAATGCATTCGATTCAGTGCTCAGCAGCGTAAAGTACACTAAACCGGTGTTATAAGATCTCTTTTAATTTTAAATATCTGTATATAAGAAAAGGGTGCGTGCCAAAACATTATAAAGTATCTAGGATAGTGTAATATCATTTTACTGGTGAAAACGACTGCATAAAAACAAACAAAAAACCCTGTATGTTACTACAGGAGAAAGCAGCTATAACATCGTTACAAAATATTCTAAAATGTTGAGAAAAATCACTAACACTTATTCGCCTGTTTAATGCAGAGCAGATAAGCTAATATTCTGAAATAGTAAAATCAGGAGATATAGGATGTGACAATGTAAACTAAATCAAGTAAAGCAGGGTTTCAAAAACTTCTGAGCGTTGAAAAGCTACGAGTCAAGAAAACTATCGCTAAAAAACGTTTATTGTGTCCATGCGCCTACAATACTTAAATCTATTGAAATATCACATTACTGTTCCTTTTTTTCCAACCCCACTAGTGATAAATATGGTCTAACGAAAGAAGAAACACTAGAACAAAATAGAAGTGTGGGGTGGGGAGGGGGGCTTAAGCGCACGCGACCACCATAAAAACTGCAGCAAGCGGTGGCCAAAGCGAAGCATCCTGTGTATAAAATCGCCCAGCTGGGACAGCTGTTACATCCAGCGCATCAGCTGTTCGCTCTTTGTGGGTAGCCCACAATTGTGACGTGTATATGGAGACCGTGGCAGCTAGGAAAGGGATACAACAATAGTTAGTCCTGGGAGTGCAGGTGATCCCTGTGCAATATGTACATTTCCCAACGGTTGATCGGATTGCTCTTCACTCTGTTACGTAGCATGCCATCTGCTAGATGTGTTCTTGCGTATTATAGTAGAGAATCATTTACATCAACATCAAAGTAAACATCCAGTTTACTATGAAATCCAACCAATGGTATAGGAACAACAGCAATTTTCTATACAGCCATGCTGACTTTAACGCTTATTTTTAATAGCACATTTCAATACAAACCGTTACTTGTAATGTGTGAAAGTCTAAAGCTCTAAAATGTATCAGTTCGGTTATCATAATTTATATCATTTCTAATTTCGTCAAATGCATAATTTTCCTTCTGAAGCTCCTAGTAATGTTTTTCCCTCCTAAATATTTGTTTTTCAGTGACACTTTTCAATACAACTAAACACTTCAGACCATATTCTCCGGGAATATTACTCGATTGATCTTCTTGGAGCTATCAATGAACAAGAAACTTGTTTCACAGAGTCCGCCTAGAGTGAAAAACATTCAGTATTGATGTTCTTATGCATTTAGGATGGATGGTTTTGCGAAAGAAATAAGATTAGATTAAGAAAGATGTATTTGGCTAAGATATCAGCAAAGTACGAAAAACAAAACCCCACTCAATCCACTTCGATTAGAATTAGAGATGTTGATAACATATTTATAGTTAGTGACGAAGATTTGGCTGTTTCATTATAGATCTTCTCGTGACACTAATAGTTTTTCTGTTTGTTTGTTTTCTTTTATTGGGACAGCAGTAGCTTGGTGGACTTACAACGCTAAAATCCGGGGTTTGATTTTTTCGATGTGGACAGAGCGAAGAAATGAAAAATAATATTTTGGACTTCCTAATCGTAACATTCTATAGCATGCTGACCTAGTAGAATTGTGCAAACACCAATGTAGCTAGCAAACATAAATTCGATACGGAGCAATTCAATTTCGCTTGGTCTGAATTGTTTCAAATGTACATTGTATTCAAGTTTAAAATTTTCAAGAAGTAAAACATATAACAGATAAATTAACAAAATATATTTAAGGAAAAATTCGAAACATGTAACAAAAATATATATATAAATTTTATGTTTGACGATTTGTTTAACCCTCCTATTGTCTTTCGGTTCTATTTCGTCTGACCCTTGTTTATATAACGTTATGATGCAATTGCATAAATCTTTGCGTTTATTATAATGAGAGTTTACATTAGATTTTATCTATAACAGAAAAGTAAAAACTATCTAAAAACAACAATATTTTATCAATTCAAGTCTGATTTAAGTTGTTTGGAACTGCAACGTGGCAATATGGCCAAAGGCATAACAGACTTTCGTAAATTCTAAACAAAAGAACAAGATTAGCGTAGGTTTTCAACTTGCAATGGACTGCTCCCCTTTGTTTCTTGAGTGGGATAGCTGTGGTATTTGTTTTGTTTTTTTCTTAAACATATATATATATATGTTTTTTTCTCGCCTTTAATTTGAACTTAAGACCACCAGCATGCTACACTGAACTAAAGAGTTATTAGTCTCCTAGGGCAATTTTTGAGTAGGAAATAGTTTGTTTATTTGTTTGTAGTTAAGCACAAAGCTACACAAAGGGCTATCTGTGCTCTGCCCACCACGGGCATAGAAACCCGATCTGTAGCGTTGTAAGTCCACATACATACCGCTGTGTCACTGGGGGGCAGGAAATATTGAACAGAATTTCAAAAAAAGAAAAGATAGTAACAGTAGTCCAGTATGAATTTTATCCCTAGATTTTCCATGCTGCCAAAAAGAATAACGAAACAAGGTTTGTTTATATCTTTAAAGTTATCCATGCATGCACTAAATTACTAAGGAAATATATAATGCAGTAGAAATGTTATTGGAATATTATAATGAGTTGTAAAAGTAACTGATGCCTTAGTGCAACCACTTTTAAAGTCCAAAAGTCTATGTATAAAGAAAAATAACTACATACGTTTACTGAAATAATCAGTTACGCCTGAATTTGGTGAACTAAGCATCTATTTGTATGTACTCTTAATGATTTTCAGTTCAGTTTTTGCCAGTTAACAACACTCATTATAAACATACGACCAAATAAATTGGGTAACAAATCACTGATTTTATGTGTAAAATACAGAGTGGATCCACGCAGTAATTAGTTGGATTAAATGCAATAGAGAGATGGTATTTTTACTACTAGGGGCCCTATAACCAGTAAAGCTACAGATCCGCACGCAATTTGGCGCATAAATAGTTTATAAAAATGTGTTTCAAAAACAAGTGAGATCCTATTATAGTTTAAGGTTAAAACAACGAACCATGCGTTCATTATAGTCAATCCAATATACTTAGCTTATTTCAATGATATTTTCATGCTCATCCACTAATTAAATATGACGCTTTTAAAGAAGGTGGCCATTTAGATGAAGCAAGTAAAATATTTTATCTGATGGATGAAAGTTCACTAATGGTTTAAAGACAGACAGACAGGTGGCACGTAACATAATGACAGGTTCTATTGGGAATGATGAAATGGTACAATTTTTCCCTCAAATTAAACAAAATGATACAACTTGACAAATATCGAATATTTAAGATAAACTAGTCAATGCGGCTTCGTAAGCGTGCTATTTTGTTATCAATTATATTTTTAGCGTGATGCTAAACACGTTGTAAAGTACATTCATTAATACTTGCATAAGGTATTACAACTTCGTGAACCACATGATATAAATAACACAATGTCTAATTTTGCAAAGAAAAATTATTCAATAACAAGAGGTCTGTATTTTACAGATTAAATCCTTAAATAATATGATGTCCGAATTTTACAGGATTCAACCATTAAAAAACAGCTTTAAAAAAGGAAAAAGCTGCATAGAAATAAGATTAACACTTTGGCTATGGTATCTACTATTTAGTGACACTGGTGTGTTGTATTTCTTTTTGCAGCAACTAAAGCTGCGGTTTTACAAAGAGCAATAGTAAGCATCGTTAATTAAAAAAGCTCTTTAACACATCGTGAATCATTAACGGTTATTTTATCCTGAAACGACTAAGTAAAATGAACGATCAAACTAAGAATTTGGTATCTTTTCAATATCACTAATAATGAAAATTTATCTTATAGTTCAATGTGACAGAAGTATATAACTAGCTTAATTATACTTTACAATACGAAACACTTATGCACAATAGTTAATACAATTTTCAATGACAGTGAATCGGTGATAGTTCATGATGTATGTTTAAACAACTTTATTTTATTCAAATACTAGTTAAATGTTTAATATATACATAACATATTAATTTTCATCATTATTCTTAATATTATGATTCATTGTTTGTTTAGTACATGAACTTAGTACTAACTTAAATATCCGAAGCTAGCCAAACCTTATGATATATTATTGAGATAATGGCCGTATATATCACCAATAACGAGAATTCCTCCTGATGAATAAATGCACTCGAATCATTATAAGTAACAATGGTGTATTAAATTAACTGTATGAATTACTGTGTTAATTTTAAATTGCGATATCTATTGGTGGCTTGCGTCTATCAGAAGTTAATGATAATTAGACTAAACCTTGAATGTTTTATATGTTAATTTATTTTTGGTCAAATTGTGATTTAGAAACACAAAGAAATAATGAAATTACCTTTAATCTTGAACCGGAGTGGCATCACACCTCTTCGAGATTACTCGCTAAGCTGGTGGTAGAAAAAAAGAAAACATTCAATGAAACAACTTCAATACATTTAGTCACACGTTGAAAATAAAAGTTATGGTTCGTTATGGCGATGTAAGACTACTGGTTCTGGAAGAGTTCTCAAACATCTCTGAACCAAGGCCCCTTGGACCCTTACTGTCTGCCCGACTGCATCGTCGGGCTGACACAGGGTCTTTACTATGTTTTCATGTGACCAGACTGCTAAGTTGTCTGGTATGAAGCATCCGGGCATTTTTTTTTGATACAGTTTACTATACGTCCTTTCGTTCCCGCCCCCCTCAGTTACCCGCATTTTCATTTCGCCCGTATTCAACAATGCTTTACATCTACTGACACTGATGCTCTCAAGAGGGGCACGTGCGTCTAGGACTCGGCACGAGCCACCACGCGACTTGTGTGACGTCATTCTTTTGATCTACGAGGGTCTGCTCCTGAATAAAGCATAGACAAAGAAGTGTCCCAAAAGTGTGGGACATTTCGTGGGACCTCCCTTGGATACTCGCAAATTAGACAAAGTAAAATTGGTACGGTGAATACGGAGTAAATAGGTTCAAGCACAAGTCTGTACTCCATATGTTTAAAACTGTGCTCACATTTCCTTTTCCTCAACTTACTTTTCTGTATTTAACAGTACAAACATCAGGTTCACATTTTCACTCAACACTGTGTACAACAGAATAAGGCTGTTGACAGTTAGTGTTCACTTAAATAACTGGTCTTATTTTACATACTATAGACTTTTAATACAAATATCTATATCTAAATGAACAAAGAATACGGCATAAAAACTTTTTGTGTGCGTTTATTCATTGTCATGTGAAAATTAAACACATGTGATGCAATTATAAGACACTAACATAAAACGGAATTTTGTTCATTTTACAATTCATCTTCCAATATCTATATCTAACAACATGACAGAGGCGATCCACAGAGAAGGAAATACTGAAGACTGATAAATCTGGGATACGGTAACATGATGTGGACTGAAGAATTGTTAAATTCTAAATCAAAATAACACAGTCAGGGCTAACCATCATGTCAGATTTTTTCTGTCGCAATTTGCAAACCAAATCATTTACTATACACATATCTATAAGTTGCAGATACGGACTGTTATCTAATGTGTAAAGATGTAAAAAATAATAATAAACTGCATAATTGTATCAGTTATGTTCATCCGCGAGGAAAAGGGTCATAAATGACTAACATCTGACTTTAAAAGAGGATCCACGTCTGCTTGAAACCTGTAATTGTGTACTGTGGTAAATTACATATACATAATAACTAAGTGGGTATTTCTATTTTGTAAATACAAATAACCTCACAATGCGGCTCTTCTGAATATAGTACACTTCATTTTGTATAGTTATTGCATCTTAATTATCGCTCATACACACAGTGCTGGTGTTACAATTAACAAATTTCGCAAGACACTTACTATAAAAACTGTTAAATGGTTGGATGAAAAGTAAACACTGAATGGTTTCCAGTAGACTAACATCTGTCATGATTAATTAAGAGACAAAAAATACCAGCCTTTACCTTAAGAGGCAGCCCTAAGCTTAAAAAGAATACAACTAGAAACTTCGATGACGAGGAACCCACTTTGAGACTAATAATGGCTGGAGATGGCTTAAATGGGTAATGAAGAAAAACTTTAATACAAGTTTAACATGACAGCAAATGTACAACGTTTCGAC